CCCTTCCCTCGGTTTTCCCTTTTTTTCCATCCCAATCCAACTTCGACATTCCCTCGGTTCACCACCCGTGACTTCCTCTCCCTTCCTTCCCCTCCTCCTTCACCTGCGCTTGGCAAAATTCGATCGCCTTGGGAACGTCCTGCATCTGCTCGAGCAGCAGCCGCAAAGCCTGCAAGCTGAAGCTGAAACGACGAGAGAGGAGGAGAGAGTAAAGGAGAGGGAGCCAGCAACACGCAGGTGAAAGAGGGGAGGGACAAAGCTGATAAGAGGAGAGCAGCTTGAAGCAAGAAAACGGAGCGAGAGGAGAGGAGAGATGTTCACCTGTTGAGTGTTGCCCATCCGACCGAGCACGAAGACCATCTCCGGGTAGAGCTTTCTGTTCTCACAGAGCTTGAGGGCGTTCTCCAAGCTGTTGGGACCGGGTGAGAGAGGAAGAGGAGGAGAGGAGGAGACCGATAGTTGTTGCTCTGAGACAAGAAGGAGAGGAGCTTCGACTTGTCGAAGTCTGCGTACAGCTCGATCTGTAGACCCGAGGCTCAGGACGAGGAGGAGACTCAACGCGGTGCGGGAGGTCAGGGAGCATCGAGAGCGTATGAGGAGGAAGGAGATGGGGAGGGCCGAGGAAGCGCAACACAAGGAGGCGGGAGGAAGGGAAGAGCGAGGAGCATCAACCTGCAGCTCATGGAAGTTTGCGCCAGCGCGAGGGTCCTTGTCGAAGAGAGCGTCGAGGTAGGCGTGGAGGGTGCTCCTCTTGTCCCGCAGCTGCTGCTCGTCAGCTCCGCCTCTCCGTAGGCCTTCAGCTTCACCTGCTCCACCACGTAGGAGGGAGAAATCTGATCGGGACACCCGACGAGCATCTTGACCGCCCGATCCTCGTCGAACTTGGCGAGGGAGGCAACTTTCCCCTTGACGAACGAGTAGAGGTCGAACTTCTCGATGAGGTCGAACGCCTCCTGCTCGTATTCGACGTGAGCGTGGGAGGAGGGGGAGCAGGAGAGGAAGAGAGAAGACTGAGGGTTGAGGATGCGAGGAAGGAGTGGACCTCTGAACATCGCAGTCTGAGGAAGATGTCCAGAGCCTCGTTGTACTTGCCCGCACTGACTGACAGACGAGCCAGGGATTGTAGCAGCGTCCTGTCGATTCAGGTCACCTCTCCTCCTGTCTCCCTCACCTCCCCCCTACTGCCTGCCTGCCCTCCTCTGCTCCCCTCTTCTCCCCTCACCCATCTTCCGGCATCTTCGCCACCCTCGCCTTGACCGCGTCGATCATCTTCTGCACGTCGTAGAGCGAGTGCGGCCACTCGTCTGCCATGGCGTCAGGAGCCTCCCAGCAGATCGAGAGGGTCACGTAGGAGTTGCAGGAGGGCGGGAGGGTCGGCCTCGAGGAAGCACATCAGGATAGTCGTGTAGCTCTCCATCTGAAGGCGCGAGGTCAGGAGGGGAGGAGAGGGGGGCAGAAGGCACGTGGAGCTGGGGGCTTCTCAGAGGCACAAACGGGGTGATGACGGCGTGCTGGTGGATCTTGCAGAAGACGTCCACCCACTTGTGCCATAGCGAGCCGTTGTCCCTCAACAAACTGCCAGCTCCTTGTCAGCTCCAATCCCCTGCTCCTGCTCCTGCTCCTGCTCCTGTTTCTTCTCCTGCTCCTTCTCTTCTTGCTCCTGCTCCTGCTCCTCACCGGGGACAGAGCGAAGCAGCTTTTTGGAACTCTCGAGCCTCAATAAGTTGACCGAGATATTTCTCCCCGATGTCTTGGAGCTTGTGTCGCTTCAACACACTCGCCTGCGCATTATGAAATGAGCAGACAAGTCTAGCAAAAAACCCTCCTCCCTCTCCCTCCTCCCTCTCCCTCCTCCCTCTCCCTCCTCACCTTCTCCTCAGCTTCAGTGACCGCCTGTTCGAAGAGCTTCCGATCGAGCAACCATGTGACGTGATCGTCGAAGTCTCGCTGTCGCGCCACCACGATGTCTCTACAGGCCAGCAGCATCAGTGGCCGTCGCATGTCAGCGAGTTCAGACCGTGGGGAGACGATGAAGAAAACTGAATCTGATTCCAAGAACGCCAGGTGATAATCTTTTGCTGTCAGTTTCTCGAATCCGTGCATGGAGAGCGCGTCTGACGACAGCTGCACTCGTAGATCATCATCTCTCTCGCACCAACAGGCGAGGATGCATCATGTAGATCGCAAGCAAGCAAGCACCTCGTCGTTGTTCCTTGTCACGATACGCAGCTCGGGTCTTTCAGCCTTGCGACAAGTCTCATCCTCCTCCTCCCTCTCCTCCCATCCTTCACCTGCCCCTTCGACTTCCCTTCCTCCTCCGTGATGTACGCGAGGATCACCAGGTTCTCACCCATGGGAGCGAGTCCGCTGATGAAGTAATCTGAACCAGAGGCGCGTCATCACCAGGTCCATCAACGTCGTTGCTTCAGTTCAGCCTCCCCGACGAGTCGCAGGCTCACCGGTATGGAAGAACGCGATGATCTCGACGTACTTGGCCGCCTGCATGCCGTCGCGAGCTGGTCGCTCTTTGACCTGAGCGCCTCCGCCTCAGGTCTTCAAGGGGACGGAAGGCACCCGCACCTGAGCGATCTTGACGAAATCCGCCCAGCCGATGAGGAGGGTGTTGTTAGTCTCCCAGCAGAGGTGGCACTTCATCGCATCCGGTCGAAGAGATCCCTTGGGTCTTGCGACTGCGTGAGGCAGCGACGAGAAGCAAGGGAGGGTCAGACCTGTCGATGTAGGTGATCCTTTGATTGGTCGCGTTATCGAAGATCTGTCGCAATCCATCAACTCCTTCCCTGTGTCCTCCTCCTCCTCCTCACCTTCACACCGACGTCGTTGGTCCATGCGATAAGCGAGTCTGCCCAAGCGATCGAGTAGACTACAAGTAGAAGTCAGCAGGTCTCGAGCAGAGGGCAAGGGGAGGAACCTGGTCCTTCACCAGCATGGATGACCTTGTCTTTGCTCGTGAACCATCCCTTCTCGTTGAGCAGCAGCTGACCCGCTCACGTCAACGACTGGCAGGACCTCCCTGTCTCCTTCTACCTGTCCCGCCAGACCGCCGCTGGCAAAGTGACGATTCCCCTTTCTCGAAAACTTGGCGTCGAGTGCAAGGGACTTCACGGGCCGCTGGTAAGTGAAGCTTTCACATTCTGCACTGAAGAGCCCGTTGATGACGACCTGAGGAGGCAGGTCAGGCACGGGTCTCACCTCCTCCTCCTCCTCCTCCTCCTCCTCCTCCTCCAGCATCAGCTTCTTGCTCTCACCGTCCCATCATCAGAGCAGCTTGCAATGAATTCTCCAGCGCGGTCGATGCTGCAAGGGAGGATGACGTCATTGTTCTTGCTCAGCTAACCCTAGCCTCACCTCAAGTCGTTCACTACCGCCGTGTGTGCTCCGAACCGCCGAATCTCATTGCCATCGAAGTCCAAGATGTAGATCCATCCTTCTGCTGTCCCCAGCGCCAAGAACTTGTCATGCAAGCGAACGGCACTTGCAGATTCTCGTTTCAAGATATCAGAAACGCTGTTCCCAAGCCGCTGGTACTTTAGACGGGGTTCCTCTTCCTCTTCATCATCATCTTCGTCATCACCCCCCAAGCTGTCTCCGTCTTCTTGATCATCTTCATCCTCGTCGCCTTCCTCGTCCTCGTCCTCCTCCTCGTCCTCGTCCTCCTCCTCACACTTCTCAGTTCCTGCTGCATTATTTTGATCCTCCGTAGCACGAGCTTGGCTCTGATTCTCTTCCGGCTGCAATCTTTGGCTCAGCTTCGAGCAGAGTCTGACTGCCATCACCTTCAAGTTCACGTCGTGTGGCTCCCCAGGATAATCTCTCTATCGGATCAAGTAAGACAGGTTTAATGTCAACATCATCAAGGAGCAATCATGGACAGCGAGTTCGAGCTGCCATCCCTCTTACCTTGTCGTCTTCCTCGTCACCTTTGACCTCTCCTTCTTCATCCCGATCACTCTCCGCCATGTTCGAATTCTCGCCTGCCGCAACAGGTCCTGTTTCCGCCTCTCCTTTCTCTCTGTCGGCGTCTGTATCTTTCTTCTCTCCTCCTGTGACCTCCTCCTCCTGCTCTGCTTCTTCCTCATCCTTGTCCCTCTCCCCCTCCTCCTTCTTCTCCCCCTCCTCCTTCTCCTCCCCCTCCTCCATCTCCTCCCCCTGGTCACCGTTTCGTGATCGCTCCTGATCCGACATTGCCACCAGATCAGCGACCGTTAGAAATCGTTACACACACTTTCAACGTTACAGAACGTTTCATCTGCAATGGTACCGCCAGGAGAGAAATGGGATCGCGTAAGTGGGTAGGCGGAGTGCGAGTGAGTGAGTGAGTGAGTGAGTGAGTGAGTGAGTGAGTGAGTGAGTGAGTGAGTGAGTGAGTGAGTGAGTGAGTGAGGGAGGGAGGGAGTGAGGGAAAGAGTGAGTGAGTGAGTGAGTGAGTGAGGGAGGGAGTGAGTGAGGGAGGGAGGGGAGAGGAAGAAGATGGCAGGAGGAGGAGAGCACGGTTCATTGAGCACTCACGCGCCTTGATGAACGTGGAGATGGAACGGAGAGGCAGGGGGTGAAATGAGACCTCGTGTCTCCTGGCACCTCAACCCGCAACCTTGAAGCGATGCTCGGGCTTCGGATGTACCAGCGTGTGGACGAGGTCCCTCCGATACACAGTTGGGGTTCAGACCCTTTGTGGAACACAATGGTGCCCGTCACGGCTTCCATGGTCCACTCCGCCTACTCGCGCATGGTGACCAAGCACGGGCTCGTATGCGCTGCTGATGGAGAGCTGCCAGCACGAAGAGGGAGCGAGGGGGTGGGGATCATGGTGGTGGGAAGAAACCGAGTGATTTCAAGAGTTCGGCTGCTAGGAGATGTGGTGGCGGTAAAGGACCGCGACAACTTCGTTGAGTTCAAGCTCGATGACTCGAGCGACATCATCACCTGCATCCTCTGGAAGTCCGACGCCATGAAGCCTGGGCTCGGCTATGAAGGGTAAGGTGTAGCTGACATCTTGTCGTGTGATAGTCTTGTAGAGTGAAGTTGGGGAAGCACCTGCACGTTGGAGGGAAGCTCTCTCAGTACCGAGGAGAGGTGAGCGGAGCCTGGCAAGGGAGGGGAAGGGCGGACACGTCCTTGACGCGCTCAATCTGATTCTTTGATAAGGTTCAGCTTTCTGTCTGGTTCGCCTCCATTGAAGAGAATGTCGATGCGATGTCGTACTTCTGGGTGAAGGTACGTCCTTTCTTGCTACTTCGAGTCTTGACAATCCATTGAAGATGGTGGACCTTCATCTGAATCACTATTCCAAAGCAAACACTCTCTGCAACGAAATTCCTGATCTTGCTACAGATCTTGAGCAACCTCAGGTGAGGTCCAAACGGGGAAAATTCTCGTCCAGCGAACTCGGCCAGCAACGTTCTGCGGCGTGTGACGAGATGGAAGAGGCTCTTCTTGTGGTGGAAACTCCTGCTATGAAGTTGGATGAAGCGATCAAGAAGTTTGCGTCAAGCTATAGCTGTGACAACTGCATCTTCTCGTTTGAGAGGGTTCTCCAAGATCATGAAGTTGTTCGAGCAGCCTCTGCATTGCAGTACAGCGCTTGATGTCGCAGCTTTCAAGCAAGGTTAACACTTGGATGTACAGATTTAATCCGCCGAAAGCTTCTCCCAATTTCGAGGCTTTCCGAGTTCGTGCTTCAGTGGCACACTCTATTGCAAGGCTGCGCAAAGACGTAGACAGTTTGAATTCTTCTTGCAAGACCTTACGAGTCTCTCAGGGTTGGATAGCACTCTGTGATCAAGAGCAGGACCTTTACACCTACGTTGGGACCACCAAAGAAGTCGCCAAGACTCTCCTGCAGTACTTGAAGGTACGCTTTCGCCTCCTCGCCATCGGCTCACCATCCTCTTGTAGAAACTTGCTTCCTTCGACTCTCCCTTATCCATTGCCCTGCACGAGATTATCCAAGGCGTGCAGGACCATCCGTCGCTTCGGTGCGTCTCCTGCGACATCAAACTTGCTTCCTTGACCTCCTGTAGCTTTGTAGGGCATCGCAGCATTGAGAGTGCGTTGTCGCTGCTTGTATTGGAATCGAGTATCACAAAAGAAGGAGTCTCAAGATACGTGATTGCTGCGTGAGAGAGTTGCAATTTATTAAATCCCGAGGTTTGCTAGATTTTTTCTCTACAGTCCAAAGAATAATCACGGTATTCACAAAACAATCAGAAAAAGAATTCGTCATCTCTGTGGAGATGCAAGAAGTCAGCATCACGCGACTGTATCATCACAGGCTTGACAGAAACAAGAGACTGGCGGTATCGTGCAATGACTTGTTCTTCTGAAGCTTCGTCCTCGCCATTGTGAGTCTCTTGCTCGTTTGAAAGAAGAACGGAAGGCTCCTGTGCACTAGCGTTGTTGCAGACTGAAAGCATCACATCCTGAGGACGAGTCTCCGTGAGATAGTTCTCATCGTACATCGCCTCTGCACGAACTACACTACGGATCTTGTTTCTGTTAAACGTGTTGTATCGTGGACAGCACGACTCGATTTCACAACGACAAGTCGGGCAGCTGTTGTGCTGTTGCAACCACTTTTCCAGGCAATCTTGATGGAAACCATGCGAGCAGGGCATGTGCTTGAGGGTGCCACTCAAGTTCTCTTGGCATATCACACACGCAATCGATGTCTCACTACCGGTAGCTTCTGTGGTCGGCAACGTGTGGATGGCAAATGCAGAAGCCGCAGGAGCGGAATCGCTCTCGCTTGCTCTGATTCGGCGAAGAAGCTCCGAGATGAAATAACGGCTTAGTCCTCCTGCATAGACAGGGCCTTCCTCTAAGGAGCGGAGCAAACGGTTGAACTCAACAATCCGTCTGGAGGCTTCGCTGACGAGAGCTTCGTCTTCTTCCAAGACGTAGTTGGAAGGCGGCTCTGGCAACGGAAACGCCGAGTTGAAGTAAGGGGATTCTGCATACTCCAAACTCCTGGCAACCGGAGAGCATTCATCCTTCTCAGGCATCGTCTTCGGTCGTTTGGCGGAAGTTGAAGAGGAACGCACTGAAGTAGACCGCGTCCTTTTTCTGTGTTTGCATGCCTGAACACAAACCTTGATGGCCTCATCTGTGAACTCGTTCCATGTCGACATCGTTTGCAGCGGAACCGAACCAAATCAAACAACAAACGAGCCTCTGGTCACAACGAAGGAAAAAGATTCAACGCTTGATGGATTCGCACCCTGAATCTTGCACCTTGCGTAGACTTTGTAGTGGGGAGGGAGTGGCCTAGCCTTGTGGGAAGGAGACCGAAAAGAGGGGAAGCACTGTAAGATGAGCAGAGACGAGACAGCGAGTCAAGGAGGAAGACTCTAGAAGGATAGGTACAAGATGAACCTCGAGAGGAAGGAGGAAAGCCAAGGAGGTCGGCGGGAAGGAGGTGGCCTTGGGTTGGAGCAAAGCTACGCCAAACAAAGAACTGAAAAAGAGGGGTGGGGGTGGTACCAAAGGGTTTGAGACCCGATACAAGACCTGAAGGTTATTGGATACCCATTTTATTCAATACTGTAATTGAAGGATGAAGGTACTATGGAGGGTATGTGAAAGGACTGCATGAGGATCATTAGCAGGTCTCTCTACTGGGGGTGGGTCATATGAGTGGCAGCCTTCCAAGGGGGTAGTACGATGACAGCGGCGCTTACAGGATGCAGGAGCTACGGGAGAAGAGGGGGTACATGAAGGTGATTTTGGGGGTAGTAGGGTATTGGCGGGGAGGCAGACAGCAAGATAATGTCCTAAAGTACGGGTACCCCCAGGGGGTGAAGGGGTGTTTCGTGTTTGCAGCATGGAGAGGGGCGCGAAAAGATCTCTTTTCGACTAAGAGGTCTTGTCAGAGATTCGATAGCTCCGTAGTAAAGGAGGTACGTGCTGACTAGTAGACAGACCTCATTGGTTCAGCGGCAAGAGGTGCGAGAGGTTGAGGGTGCGGGGATAGCCTCCAGATCTTAGTACGATATCCGATAGAATGAAGAGAACAGACCCTAGTCTGACACCTGCTAGACGCCCGACCATGTGACGGTTTCGCACGATGTGGCAAGAGAAGAAGGGTCATGGATAGGAGCATGGCATTAGTGTCTTTGCTGATAAATCGATAGGCTAGGGGTGGTGGGTGGAGAGAATGTGGACAAAGCACGAGGTGGGGGGATAGGAGAGTGGATTGAGAGCGGGAGGGATAGCCCTTTCTGTATAATACCTCACTTAATGAATCACTTCTTTCCCGTCAGGAGGTCGTGGGAAGCACTACTCTGGTTGCGTCGGAGTTGAACGGAAGGGATGCGCTTCCTAGGCCTCCAACAAGTCTACTGATACAGGGTCTTACCACCATACGATTGGACCCCTAGGAAGTGTTTAGGTCCCTAACCACCACATAGTCATGGGAATAGGTAGGCCGCTTAGTCTGAGCTGGCAAAAAAAGAAAACGAAACGATGTGCTCTGATAAGTTGTGGCATTCAATTGTTTTTGAAAAAGATTCTTGTGGGAATTTGTATCTACCAAAACAAGTGTTTTCGAAGTGAACTACCAGGTTATACAGGCACGGCCTCACCCCACTGTACCAGAATAAAAAAACTTATTTTTAAGGGGACGGAGACGTCTGGGACGCACGAGGGGCCAGTGTGGGCGTGGTATGGGACAGGGGTACTTTTAGCGATGCAATGGAGGGTGGTCAATACCTGAACTGTGATCTGCACCTTCACAAGTTGCTGGCCGTCTGGGTGGGGCGAAAAGAGGGGGTCAAGGAGTGTCAGATGGATATAAACAGGGTGGGTGGTACCGATGTTGATACTTTGGTGGGTGGTTGAATAGATGATCGGTAGGGTGATGGGTCATTCAGTTATGGTGGACCAGCGCCGCTGAAATTTTCATGTGGTGGAGGTGGTCAAACAGCTACAAGACCATGAAAGTAGGGGGTAGGGGTGGGGCCTTGTAGTGGCTGCTTGCAACCTGCCTTTTTAAAATTTTGAGTTTACCACCATAGCCCGCCATGATTAAAACAGTTTATAAAGATACATGGTACTGGATTAGGAGAGTCGTGTAAGTACTTGGTACAAATGTCTATGGAGTATTTCATTACATGGTACCTCTACCCCCCAATCTGACCTAATATGCAGATCAGAATTTCTACTGCAGGGAGGGAGATCTAATAAAATGTTTTAGATTTGTACTGTGCGATTATTTTAAAATTTGCGTTACAGGATCTTCTCGTGACTAAAAGATGACTAAAAGATCCGACTGGCACCGTTTCACCCGTGGCAGCCTCTGAGTCCTGGGCCGCCGGGTCACTGGCCATCCCCGGGAGTCGTTCCGTCGGCCCGGCCCAAGCTTTCAGTGACCGCCGGAGCCGGACCGCCATACGCCGGGCTCGGAAAATGTTTACTCATCCAGAGTTAAGTAGTAGGAGGGCAGTAGAATATCTTTCTAATCAGTTTGTACCAATATGTAAAACTCTGGTACACTCTGCAGTACCAGTAGTACTTATGACCTTCTTTGTTTGTACCACTCAATCTATTACTCCCTTTTAAATCTCCGGCCCCCCTGCCGCCATGATGCAGCGACGCAGCCACGTGAGCTCGAGCTGTCTCGCGGTGACCATGCTGTTGGTCCTGCCCTGCGCTCTGTCTTTCTCGCCTCTACCTCTCTCAGCTCTGGTTGATAGAGATCCACGCGCCTCTCCTACGATCCTAAGGTGCTCCTCGCGCGCTGCGAGGGTCAGAAGCGCCAAGGCGATTGTTCTACGTGCTTCTATTGTGGAGCCGAATGAGAAGGAGAAGGTGCAGGATGCAGATGATAGTAAATCACAGTCTTTGTTTGGAAAGGCTGAAGTCTTGGATGACAAGATTTTGGAACTCGAAGTTGCAAAGGGCCAGAAGCAAATATCAGAGCTCGCAACGCTCACTAACGCCGAGGTTCAGACACTTCAAAAGAAGATTGAAGAGGTGCCTTCACGATCTCATCCGCCCTTCACATCACATTAATCTTCCTACTTCCTTTGTAATGTCCTCTTGCCTTCTAACCCAACATGCCATTCTCATGTTCATGACTGAATGTCGTTTCTGTCATGTCACAGGAGATAAACCTTGCGATGGAAGGCGCACAGCTGGAGCTTCTTGAGGAGTATGATCAGAAGACACAAGCCATCTTGAAAGACATGATGAAGCAGCGCGACATCATACGGCAAGAGGCATCCAACATCGAAGAGTTGAAGAAACAGCTGGACAGTCCAATGTGGTGGAAGAGCCGTGGAAATACAGAGAAGAAGTCGAAAGACAATTTCATTCCGATGGCGCTTGCCTGGACCTTTGGACTTGCAGCAGCCAATGAGATCTACAGTGGAATGCAGAGCGATGAAGGTTTATCCTTTATAGGGGGAGGGAAAGCCGTTCTTGATTCCCTTCTCTGCATTGTATCTGCTTCTATCGCTATGCGCAAATCTAAGTCTAAGGCAAAGGAATGATCGTCCAACCTGATGATGCAGACACTGCAATGAAGGCGCGTAGAAGCAAAAGGGGGGAGCCTGCGTCCTGGTGGCGATTGGTTTGACAGAATTTGGTGGCCGGCGACTCGAAAGTTCGTCTCGAAGCTGTCGCCGCCGTGTAGTGTAATGAATTTCATTGTTATGTTCCCCTGATGCTCTGAAGTGCCTTCATTGTTGTTGTTTACGGTTGTTGCGTTTGGCCGTTCGACATGCCAGGGTCCGGCTCTCAGCAATGGCGCGCCAACCGTGGGCACTGTTCAGTGAACGCTCGTGATAGTCCCGGTCATGATGCAATGCGAAACTGTGGAGACTTTAACCCGGTTCAATGATCAGTCACTGGCAGCTGATTCATCTTCACACCAATCGATGTGACTAGTGCCTAAAACAGAAGTGCCTTGGACCAGGGTCCGACGCTGCCATCGGACTCAGCACAGCCGTCGCCGTTTCACTTAAGCCTCCGGGCGGCGAGCGGCTGTCACAGGCTGCTCAGCCTCCGAGGCTCGGAGTCTCAGGGGGTAACCCAGTGACTGTGCCACCGGGAGCAGCTGTCGGACAGGAACGGTTAGCAGCAGTCACGGCGACGCACTGCACTTGAACTTCCGCGGGGCCATAGCCTAGCAGTGATAGCCTAGTGTAAGTAAGACTCTGAGGCGGAGTGATTTTACGTTACAAATGACCGTTACATCACGTAGTCAAGAGCCTGCCCCATGCCGGCGATGAGACGCGATGGCGAGAGGAGGAGCCGAGGAGGGAGGGAGGAGGGAGAGAGGGAGGAGGGAGGGAGGGCGAGACTTCCAGAGATGAAAGACTGAGAGCAACACCATTGCAAGAGACTGTCGCAAGCTTCATGGTCATGTCCACTGCCTGCCGCGCACTCATCACATGCATGATGCTGCTAAGTTTCAGCCTGGCCAACAGCTTCACTCCCTCATCGAGCAGCAGCCAGCGGCAGCTCTTGCTGGTCTCCTCATCCCCTGGGATAGGAGCAGCAGCACATGCGAGCAGTGCCAGGAGCCTCCTGCAGCAAGACTGTTCAGTCTGGGCATCGATCGCCGTGAACCCGATGCTGATAGACTCGTCGGTTGAGGTGCAGGTGGAGTTTAACACCTCTCTGACCATCAGGAGCTCGGACCAAGTCCGTGTGACTCTCCCAGGTGGCAAGCACAGCATCCTCCCTCCTGTTCTCTGACGGCGACCGCAGGGTTCGAGCTCGCTAGTATCACGGATCCAGGGGCGATCTTTGTGAGGTGAGGCGGAGGTTGCGCTTGTTGCTCTGAGAATGAGATGGTCGTCAGCCATGGGAGCACATCTCGCAGCCGATGGATTGCATCATGGACGCAATCAGAGCAAACGTTGACCATCGTATACCTGGACCAGTCAGAAATCCCTCCCAACACTAGGGTGTTGATGGTTGTGGCGAGGAGCTATGGATTTCTGAGTGAGCCGGAGGGGTGTGTCTACTCGTTCCTCATGCCCTCCTACAGACACCAACTACCGAACGACCAGCAACTTCTCGCTCGCCATCTTCCGGGCCGATCAAGAGCTCTGCAGAGTGTCTGACGACCTTGTCCGGGTCCGAGACGTGCGCCTGGACTTCGGAGCGAACGAGACAGTGATAGCAGCGGGTAGGCGACCTGTCGATCCGCGTCTCTTCTGACTGGCGGCCAGGGAGAGTCGAGCTCTTCCTGCAGTTTCAGATCAATCGCAAGCTGGACTACGGGGATGCAGTCAGCCTCTTCCTCCCTCGTTTCTCGAGGGTAGGCGGGAGCGTGCAGGGCATCGCCGTTTCATCGTGCGAGGTCGCAAGCTCCTCCTCGTGCTCAAGTCCCGGCAAGCAGCTCTTGTCCCAAATCATGTCGAAGATCCAGCACGCCAACTGGATCGAGGTCTTCTCTTCTTGAACCGCCTGCTTCGCTTCTCCGGCTGACACTGGGCGTGATCGCAGGACGAAAACAAGTTGACCTTCCTGGTGAACGAGAAGCACGAGCCTGACGAGTCGATCTGCATCTCCTTGTCCTCGACCAGTGAGATCAGGTGACGCAACAAGGATTCCTCCTGCTCCTTGTGCTCCTTGTGCTCCTTTGCTCCTGCTCCTGCTCCTGCTCCTGCTCCTGCTCCTGCTCCTGCTCCTGCTCCTGCTCCTGCTCCTGCTCCTGCTCCTGCTCCTGCTGCTCCCTCCCCCATACTACCTATCTCTCTTTGCTCCCTCCTGATCTTCTCTTCTCTGCTCTTTCATTAGGTATCCTTCCTCGGGGGTCCAGGCAGGAAACTCAGGCATCAGGATGCGCCTCGTCTTTGCTGATGGGAAACAGTACGATGTTCCTATCCAGACCGAGCTCGAGGTGAGTGGCGAGGAGGAGAGCAACGGGAGGGGAGGAGGAGGGGAGGAGGAGGGGAGAGCCTGAACATGCGACAGGTGCCTCGCTCCGTCTTGTCCTTCGACCGAGAGTTCCAGGCAGGAGCCACAAGCCTCTACCAGCTGGCCCGTCAAGTCAGCCTCGAGCTGACCTTGAGCTTTGCTCTCCAGCAGGGGGACGGGGTGAACCTGACGCTCCCCTTCTCCCCTACGAGTTGCGACGGAGCTGGAGGGGTCGAGCTGACGTTCTCGTTGGATGGGGAGGAGAAGTCCAGCTACGCCACAGCTGAGCTGAGCTACCGCAATATCTCCCAGCTCAGCGTCGACTGCGGGTTCGTCACCTGCAGAGACAACATCACGGCAAGTCCAGCAGGACGAGACACGACGAGCGCGAAGTGCCAAGGGGAGAGCACGCTCATGGTGCAGATGACGCAGAGCGTTGGCGCCAACGTGCCTGTGCGATTCGATTTCCTGGTTCCCCTGCTGCTCCCCTGGGCGGCGATCCCCAGCTCCTCCCCCTGCATCTCGATCCAAGTGAGGTCAGCCGCCGTCCCAACCTCCATCCCAGCTCCCTTTGACCAGGGAGGACGCGCGAGGGTTGAGCTCGTCTATGCGGCTGGACTGTTCCCTGGCTCTTCCCTCTCCTTCTCGCCCCTCCTGCCTGGCGCCGCCTCGTCGCTGCGGATGGAGCTGTATCCAGGCATGAGGCTGCAGCAGGGAAGCTTCGTGGAGGTGAAGGTGACAGAGCTTGTGACGTCCTCCTGCAACGTCTCCGACGGCTGGCACGAGGTTAGTGACGTCCTCCTCGCTCGCTGGAACTGCTCAAGCTCCGCTCTCTGCCTGAGCCCGAGGAGGGACGTCAGCGCCTGCGACCTCCTTGCCCTCTCCTTGCCCTCAGACCTCAACCTCCTCCTCCCCTCGACCGGGATCCATCCAAACTCCATCGGCTTCACCTTGGAAGTGGAGCATCAGGTCAGCGGGCAGTTCTTCACCCACGTGGAGGGGGTCGGCAAGTTGCTGTCGCGGGTCTCGTTCGAGGAGCGCAGGTTCCCAGGCCAGCCCTCCCGCGTCTTCTTCAACTTCACTTACACCGAGTCGCTCCCCCCCAACAGCTCCGTCATCCTCCGCCTCGATGCCTTCGGCTTCCGCTCGCAGGAGGGAGCGAACTGCCAGGCGCTCTCAGCGGAGGAGGCGACGAGCAGCTGTTACTTCCCCTCTAGCATGCTCCTGACAGACGTCAACGTCACCTGTTGCTTCCTCCCCCTCGACAACGGCTGGGATCTCTTCCTCGGAGATCTCTCAGCTCAAGGCTTCCTCCTTCTCCTGTTCCGCCCTACTGCCACCATCCCCGCACTTGAGCCCGTGCTTCTCTCCTCCCCTACCCTCGTCTCCCTGCTCATTCCCCAGGACGGTGTCAGCAGCTCCCTCCATACCCCGCTCGTCGAGGTCGTCGCTCCGACTTCTCCAACTTCCGCCTCCTCTTCCTGGCAGCCCGTGACGCTGGTGGACTCCGTCGGCTACTGCAGCGTGAGGATGGACATCTCCAACGCGGTCGCCGGCACGCGGAGCGACTTCCAGCTGTTTGTCAGCTGTGTCATGAGCTTCGAGCAGGGAGAGACTATAGAGTTCGCGCTCGACAAGCTCATCCTCCCCGACCAGCTCGCCTCCAACAACTGCTCCTCCTCCTCTCGCTACTTCCCCACCTGGCAGGGAGACGGCTCGACGCTCCTCCTCCACTTCGGCGAGCAGGTGGGAGCCGGGGAGGAGCTGGTGGTCTGCGTCAAGAACGTCCTCCTGCCGGCTGACGGGATACCCGCCAAGGATCCTAACATGACCTTCGCAACCTCCGCTCGCAATGGCAAGATCCTCCCGACAGGTGGGTGGTCTGCTGGGCTCGGCTCGTTCGAGCTGAGCCTGCTGGGATTTGACGTCCCTCTCGCGGGCACTTGGAGGTCGAACCTGCTGCTGGCCCTAACGCTCAGCGACGTCATCCTGCCGGGAGAGACGATCAAGCTCTTCCTGCCTGGCTTCGGCCTGCTGAATGCCTCCTCGATCACCTCCTCTTCAGCTGCTGGCGCGGACGCCTATTCCTATCTCCAGGAGAAGTTCGGCGTCAGCGACATCTCGCAAGCTGGGGAGGTGCTGGACGGTCTTTTTGCTCGGAGAATCTCTCTGGGACGAGTTGGAAGGCAGCAAGTGTTCAACGTCAGCCTCTCCTCCTACAGTCCGAACGCTTCCAGTGGCGTCTGGCTGAACCTGCGCGCTCTCGTCCAAGTCAGCAAGAAGTCTCTCGTCCTCCTCCTCGTCAACTGCTCAGACGTCCTCCAGCTGCCCCCTACCGGCATTCAGCAAGGACGTAAGAGACCCCCTGCCTCAACTGCTGCTGCTGCTGCTGCTGCTGCTGCTGCTGCTGCTGCTGCTGCTGCTGCTGCTGCTGTTGCCCTTGTGCGCCTGTCGCTCTTTGTGGACCTGTTGCACCTGGCGGACGCTTGTCCTCCTCCTCCTGCTCACCCTACTGATCGTCACTTTCTTTCAGATGATTTCCGTATCACATCCGAGGCCATAAACGCGCTCGTTGACTCCTCTCCCCTCACGCTCTTCCCGCTCATCGGCCACTTTGGCCAAGACAGCCGGTGATGTTGATGAGGGGCACGATAAGATAGATGGGAGAAACGAGTGGGTAAGAGGAGCTGAAGGAGCTGGTGGAGGGGAGGGAGGAGGGAGGAGCATTGGGATAACAGGGAGACAAGGAAGAAGCTGACGTGTGCGCGTCCAGTTTCACCTTCAAGCCAGCATGGAGCCTCGAGAGCGCCCCGATGATGCTGCTGCTGTCGCTGAGCCTCAACGTGGAGCTGCGGGCGGGAGAAGAAGTCTTCCTCTACCTCAACGGCTTCCAGCGGACGATGGTGACGGGTCCTGCCTCTCCTCCTTCACTCACGCGCTGCTGCTGCAGAAGTTCTGCGACACCAACGTCGTCGGGTATCAGCACATCTGTGAAAGTTTGGAGCCAGCCACGGTATTTGCAAACTCGATCATTCTGATGACGATGAGGATACTGGTTGTGATGATGTCCTCACGGCTATTCTTCAGTGTCTTGACATCTACAACATAAGCTGCAACTCGAGCTCCTTCTCCCTCATGAACAACGCGGTAGAAATCCTCCTGCTCCATTCCCCCCCCCCTGACCCCTCTCAGTACACTTCCCTTGCCACATGGGATGCGGAAAATCTCAAATTGTCGTTTCTGCTGGACGTCAACGTCAGGTCTACTCATCTTCCTCTACCTCCTTCTCCTCTCTTCCCAACCCCTTTCATTCCTCTTCGAAGTCCTCTCATCGTCTCATCTCCTCTCCTCTCATCCCTCTACCTCTTTCCCTCATTCTCTTCTCTCAGCGCCAACCATTTCATCGACATTTTTGTCCCCGCTAGCGCAGGTCAGCTGCTGCTCGTTGCCCTCCCGTTGCTGACACGTCAGACACTACAGGATTCTTGTTGCAACGAGGTGGAACGAAATTGTTCTCCTCCTCACTTACATGGCCAACCTCTATAGTCAACCAACAAGCGCAAATCCTTCTTGGCACCAACGCGCGAGCCGGTCGAGTGATCGGTGAGAGAGAGATCTCCGACCAAGTCCTAACAAGCAGCAGGAGAGGACGTCTATCACGGCCTCCTAGGCATCAACATGTGCGGAGTTACATGCGGCGGTCTGCTCGTCGACAAGATCGCAGGAGCCGCGCCAGCAGGACACGATCCCAACCTCGCTGGCAAGACGTGAGAGCCTCTTCCTTCCTCCTCCCTCCTCCTGACACGCCGCAGGTCTCCTGCCATCCCTCCCACATGTTCGATCGACGAGTATGTTCAAGGAAGCTGCAAGTGTCTCGGGTAGAGGAGCAGCTGCTGCGCCCCCCCATCACTGCCAGCCATGTCACTCTAATAAACTCTCATGGAGTCTTCAGAGCTCATCAGAGTTTGGCCCCTTGCCGTTCAATGTTGTGCATGCGAGCGAGAAAAAGATACAAAGCCAAAGGATCACAGAAGTTAACTAGCAAATCATAGAGAGCAGAGCTAGTGCAAGTAGGGTCAGTTACTGGTCTCCATTCTCCTCTTCCTCCTCCTCCTGCGAGATCAAATTCAGGTCTGCAATGGAACCGGTTGCACTTCACCTGAAGCTCCTTGCGCTCAAGACGCTCTTCATCATAGTCCTCGATGAATAACGAGATGTTCTCAGTGGTAATATTATCACCATCTATGTTCCATGTCAGAAGATCGGTTAGCATACATCACAACTCTACCAAACACGTAGTATGCCCCAGAGTCGGGGATGTCAAGGATTACAAGCTGCAGGAAAAATCAGAAACATCAGCAAACCACACATCGAGCTATACTTGAGGTGTTGTTGTTGGTTCTCCCAACTCGCAGGACATGCGGAGTTGCGAAACCACTTCGCTGGTCTCCGTGGCAGTGAAAAACAGCATTCCTGCTTCACATCCACTACAGAAGAATCAGCTAGACGCCTCTCACAACAAACGGGCATACCTTGCTTTGGCAGCATTGAACGCCTCAGTTGCGACGGGCTACGAAGCAAAATAAGGTCTCAACGAACAGAACAACCTTTCACACCATCATAGCGTCGGCCAATTCTGCTTTGGTGTTCTCATCGCAGCCCTCGCACAAAATCACACAGGTGACGGTGTCGTTCATCTCTCCAAGAATCTCTGGTTCAAGTGTTGAAAGATCGTAAAGCGGCTGCAGTAATAAGGTCAGATGACAAGCAAGTATGATGGCCATCGTGCCTTGGGTGTCCATGGGAAGCATTCCCCATCAGTGTCCTTGCTCACAATTTCAACACCTTCCGTTGTGACCACGTTGCCCTCAGGATCGATGATCACGAGCATTGGGCACTGATCAATACGGAACGCTTCGCCCAGCTTGTGCTTAGCTTCAAAAGAATCGTGAGGCATTGAAAGCCATTGCATTTCTGGAGAAAAGTCCTGAAGCAATTGTCAGCTTCTCAAAGGCCGCGATCCATGCTTACCATGTCAACAATCTCGAATGGTTTTCCATCTTGCTTGAGCTTGTCATACATGTACTCCAACATCTGTTGGAATCGGCGGCATTGCCAGTGCCAATTTGCAGAAAACAAGACACCAACGTACTTTCCGTCGAGGGCCGAGAGTGGTACCTGGCTGTTGTCACCCTTCAAGAAGTGGCTTCCAAGCATGTTCTTGATGTTGCTATGTCTCTTCTCAGCCCATGGAAACTGATCGGCAAACGAGTCTCCATCATGGTCCTCAACGATGTGTGTGACAGCAGGAGTGATGTCACGGTGGATGGTCTTTCCTTCCGTGTCCAGGAGGACCAGCATGGGGATCTGGCGCACTTGGAATCTTCGGGTCAACTTCTTGTGGGTTGCCTTGCGATGATACGGGACAGCAAGCCAAGGCATCATGGACATAAGCTCTTTGAACGAGGCCTCATCCTCTGCAGGGCGGCCGGGCACTGTCGCTGGAACGTAAACGATCTGGAAGGACTTCTTCTTCTCTTCCGTCAATTTCTTGTACACTTGCACGAGAGGCTGCATGAATTGTTTGCAAGAGCCCGACCAAGCCGCTCCAAAAAAGACTCCGATGTGCTGGACGTCCTTCAAACTGCTCTCGGTACCAACTTCGCCAACTCCATCCTTGTAGAGAGTCTTTCCGAAAAGAGTCTGAACAAACCCATCAGAACAACAGTTCACATCATCGCGAGATGGCCACCTTGAAGTCTGTTGGAGGAACGCTGCCCTCGCTCATTCTCACAATCGGTGCGGTTGAAACTGAAGTGCAAAGGTCAGAAAAGCTTTGTATGCAACAGATGGGCCAAAAAATCAGAGGATTGCGATGAACAAGATGAAGACTTGGATGACAAAGATTTGGCAGCTGCATGGTCTAAGTGAAGTATGCCATAACACGTGAAGAGAGCCACATCATCACAATCTTGTAAGACATGTCGGTTCCTGTTGACCTTGACTAGAAATCGTGAAACTACATAGGAACAAACTCTTCTCAAAGCAACTGAAACTTTCTGAATTTTGCTCAATATATCAAAAATTCCCAAGAGACGAAAGGTGATAGGATCATAGATCGCAATCAATTCACCTAGTTTGAAAACTCACGCAACACACACTTTCAAGTACACCACTTAGCCCAGCATCCATCACAAAGGCACAAAGAACAGAAGGCGAAGGAAATTCTTTACTGACAAACGTTTGGGCCGCTACTTCACACTCCACATCACACCATAGAAAACATCGAATCAAGACCCTTGCCAGCTCACCACAATGATAAGGACAAGGGGTTGCGATGGTGAGCACATGATATTCAGATCGAACGAGGATGGAATGACTTTCAGTATCATGAGCACATCAATAACGACATCGCAGGTGCTTCATGCCGAGAAAGACTGGCTCTGCCATCACTGGCTCTTCCCTCCCTGGCCCCTCCTGCGCGGCATTGGGAGCGGCGGCGGGAAGGACAGGTGTACTGGAAGCTTAGTGGTACAATAAATTAGTACCATGAGTGGTTTTACACTTCCATATTGAAAACTTTATTTCTATAATAATTTAAGGTGTTACCAAAACCAGTTTGAATAATATTGATATATATTATTTTATCAGTAATAGTTCAAAATTGGCTAGAAATGACAAAGGTATTCGAGTATTACCCGGGTAGTTCAACAGCTTTTTGCAGAGGAATAAGGGGGTGTAATATTTTAAAAGTATTACTGAAGAAATCAGTGGTAATGTTTTCCTACAGTACTGATTCAAACTTTAGACCAAGGACCCCACCATCTTCCAGCTCAACCAACCAAGGATATACCCTACCCCTCTATCAGATCCAATTCAACATACGGTACCCGTAGTGACCTACACACCCACCCACCCCACCCCATTAGTGACCTTACGCACACCATCCGACCCCACCCTACCCTACTACTATTCATAACGCATCCGTTCATTCGACCACCCCTAACTTGTAAGTATATTCAGTACTACCAGTACCCCCATCACCCCACCCCCTCGGTTCGATGGTAACTTTTGGTCTTCGATGGGTTGACCAGGGCAACATACCCCTTACACCTACCGGATTAGGACCCCCATTGCTCTATACCCTACCTCCCTCTCGTTCAATTTGAAATGACCACCCCTGTATAAGATAATCATCTCTAGTACAAGGACCCGGTACTGAAAGCCCACCCACCCTAACATTTTAACCTTTTTCCGAAACATAGTTTTGGGTTGATTTACCGTTACAAAACCGTTATTATTTCCTAGTATCCCAACATCGTTACGGACCGTTACAGTAAATGACTTGACCTGCCGTGCTACGGTTTGTTTGCTCATTGCCCGGAGCCTCGGAGTGCCGTACGGGATGGCGGCGGTGAAGGTTGTAGAGGACTGCGAGGAGGAGCAGCGGAGGAGGAGGGCACGGAGCGCCATGGCCTTCAGGAGAAGCGAGTCGAACCTTGTCGGACTAATGAGCAACAGCAGCCAGCAGCAGGGCGGGGGTTGCTCGAGGAGGAGGGAAGCGGCTGGCAGTCGAGGAGCATGAGCAGCCATCAGAGGCGGCGCACAGTGTCATCGGCCAGCCCCTGGAGACCCTCACGCAACCCAAGAGATCAGTATGAGGGAGGAGGGAGCGAGAGCAGGAGGCGATACCCCTTCCCAGCCTTTGAAGCTCTTCAGGGCTCCATCCTTGTGGCCAAGGACACTGTGCTGCAGCACCAGGCGCAAGAGATCGAGGACCTCAAGAAGTCGTCCTCCAAGTCTCTCGCTCGAGCCTGGGCGAAGATCAGGGAGCAGGAGAACCTGATTCAGAAGCTGCGCAACAAGATCTCTCTCATCGAGGCTGAGTCAGACCTGCTGAGGCAAAAACTGGACTTACGCAAACAGAAGCAACAGGAGCTGTCCACGTGGATGAAGATGAGCGGGAGGAACAGCAACAGCTCTGACTTCGATGGCCAGTACACAAGCAAACACCACAAGATGTTCAAGACGGACAACTATGACGACATCCCCATCTGGCAGCAGTTGTACTTCCGTTTCCGGGAATGCCAGACGAAGTCCCCGAGCCCTGCAGCTGCCGAGGAAACCAGAGTTTCCCCGATGTGGATCTTGTTCGAAAGAGCATTGAGCAGGCAGATGGAGGCTGACGACTTCATCCTTGCGATGAACATGCTGTACAGTCAGTTTCAACAGAGTGCGAGGAACTCTTCACTGGTCGAGTTATACAACCAGATCTCCTGCCTCAACAAAGTGATGACCTGCATGAGCTCAATGCTGGAGGTATGGAGATTCCAGACTTTATCCTGCTCCCACTCCTGCTCCCGCTGTCCATCCTTGGCCATGCACTTGTTGCTCATGCCTGGTGGGTCGGTGACATTCTTATTGCGCAGATTCCAGGAAGCATCATGGATCTTCCGCTCCTGACGAGCCGAATGCTCGAGATCGCGATGGATCTGTGTGCGGCGAGGTCAGGGCGGATACTCTTCTTGGAAGGAGATCACCTGGTGGTCATGGCTGCGCTATCCAAGTCAAAACAGGACGGGTACGTGGATATCGGTGTGAACAATCGCCCGTTGCCCATCGACGGGATCGTTGGCAAAGTGTTGAAGCAGGGAAAGACGCTGAACTATAAGATGGGGAACGACCTTGCAGCTGACTTCAACAAGACGACAGACGTGATTATGGGGCAGGAAACCACCCCCTTCGTCTGCAGTCCCATCCTTGATGCCGACGGAAGCTTGCTGGGCTGCCTGCAGCTCTTCGACCACATGACGGAGAAGAAGTTGCAGGAAGGCGACAGAATCCTCAACTTCTTCAATAAGGAGCTACAGGTAAACCGAGTCACTTGTGCATCCAACGCCGAATCTGATCGCTCTTGCATCATGCAGATACTTTGCGAGGAGTTTGCAAGAGTTTGCGGGAAGGAATTCGAGCAGTGCAGAGCATTCTCGGCGTCATGGCGAGCACAGCAGCTCCTGCAGAGGTTCCTGAGGTTCACCAAGATCGTCAGCAACTCCTCCGACTTTGTCTCTGTCCTCAAGATGCTCAACGACATGACGGTCAACGTCATTTCAGTGGATCAATGCGGCATCTTCTACCTCGACAAGGTTGCCAACGAGTTCCGCCTCCTCCACACCCTCTTCGACGACGAGAGCATCACCCTGGGGCTGGAGCAGCGGGTACCCAACGACGGGATCGGCCTCATCTCTCTTGCCGCCCAGACGGCCATGATGAACACAACTAACGACGTGGGGAAGGAGTCCAAGTACTCTGCCACCCGCGACCTCCGTGGCACCACCGACTTGCCTGCTAGGGGGATCTGCACTGTGCCGCTCAAGAACATGTACGGGGAGGTGAGCTGCGTGTTCCAGGTCAGCAAACACAGCGTGCCCTGGACCCGCGCGGACGAAGACGTCATCTCCACCATGGATCGATCCGAGCAGCTCTTGGCCTCCACGTCAGTGACGAGGAGGAGTCGAACGATCCGTCACACCAAGTCGGTTCAGCGGAGGAACAGCTCCACCTCCATCACCGGCATGATCAAAGACTTCCAGCGCTCCATGCAGGTGGAGAGCTTGCGACTGCTTGTTATCAAGCAACCGGATGAGAACCCTGAGGCCCCCGCTGACTCGTCCAAGGCCAAGAGCACGCTCGTGACCCTCGTCTCTGCAGGAAGAGAGTCGGGCATGTCGAGGACGGCCTCCATGGAGCAGGCAAGGGAAGCCCCGCCGAGCATAGAGCATTTTGTCGGGGAGGGCATCACAGGGCATGTGGCCGAGACTACTCAGTGCGTGCGAAGCAACGACGCCTTCGCGCACCCCTTCTTCAGCCCCACCTTCGACCGAGTCTTCCCGTCCCAAGTTTGCACCAACATCTGCTGTGTCCCTGTCATCTCCGAGGAAGACGCCACCACCATCGCCGTGCTTGAGGTCTGTTGTAAGCGCAAGACCTCAGAGAGGGGGGGGGGGGGGGAAGTTGATACAAGCATTGGCAGGCTCTCAACAAGACCCCTTGTTTCAGCGAGGAGGACGAAATAGTTCTCAAGGTTTGGATGTCGTTGAAACGTGTTGGAAATCTGACGGAGGGATGAAGGTGTTTGCGAAACAGATTGGCGTCTTTCTCATGGACCGGGTGATCGACATGGAAGGGCTGAGCAATCTGATCTTTTAACGGTGTCATGATTCTTTGAATAATAATTTACAATAATAATGTAAGGTTCTTTTGCACAAGATAATACACGTTCTCTACATCTTCACACTGATCAAGAAGAAGCAGCCCGTCGCAGCTGGAAGTACGATCCATGCCCGTAAAGATAGCACCCATACGCTCTAGTCTTCACAGCATGCACAATATCTGATTTGATCGCTTCACAGTATTCTTCGTCATCACAGATACTTGTGAAGTCCATTTCTAGCTCCATGCTGGTTCGCTCTGCACATGCAGATCTCTGCGACATGCCCGCCGCTCGTGAGTCAGTCTTGGAAGATCTAAAGAATATTCTACAGAGGAATGGTTTGTCGTTTAACTTGAGGTCGCTTAACTGAGGAAAGAACAGTGAGAAAGAGGTATTTGCACCACAAAGACAACAACACACCTGCTGTTCACATGCTGATAGATCTTGTCCGTCTTCACCCACAGTCAATACACTAGCATTCCACTCGTGTCTTGTCGTGGCGTCTGATGCGTGAGAATATTGCTGGCTTGGCATCAATAAGCTTAGCGACTGACTATGCTCCATACTTTGCATCGGTTGCATGATGCTCATAACACTCTCAACACGCTGCCCCTTCAGGTTCTTGTCCAATCCCCAACAACCCAACCACGATGTGTAGGTACGCCAGCAGTCAGGAGTTTTAAGTGCTGACAAGAGGCACGGGATTCGGGTCAAGAAATGAGAGGAGGGGAGGGGGATGCAGAGAAGGGTCGGGAAGCACAGTTAACGAGGTGCTGGGGAGAAGGGAGGGGGGGGGGGAGAGGAGGGAGACAGGAAGGAGCACAGAAAGGTCGATGACCGATGTGCGTGGGTGCAGTCGGAGGGAAAACCAGAACCCTCCCTATCACCCTCGGCTCCCTATTTATACCCACCGCCAGATCGAGGGGGTGGGGTGATTGCATTACGAAAGTACCGGTCCTGAACTCTTAGCTTCAATCTGGGGGTGTAAAGATGGAGGGGTGGAGGTCATAACAATAAGTAGGGTGGGGGTACAAACTTCGATGGAAGGAAAGGACAGAAGGGGGGTACAAAGAATGTAATATTGGGGTAGGGGTTATCAAATGTAGGGTGATTGAAAACAGGGGGTTTGTGAAAGGGTGGGGGTTAAATGCGGGGTGGGGAATGTCGGTAAGGGGTGGAGGGTGGTGGGATGGGTAGGGTATACCTTGTGGGCAAGAGCAGATGTCGTAGCCTTCCATGATAGTGGGGGTACGGGGGTACTTTGTTATCCATTATGACCGGTATTTTGAAAGAGTAAAGTACGGGTACTATTCTCGCAACAGGAAAATAATCATTGGGGTACTGGGGTTCCCTCCCGAAAAGGATGGTGCGTCGTAGCAAGGAAGGGGTCTAGTGAATGACCCTACCCCCTATCTATTCTCTTGATGTAATGCGCCGTCAATCGTACCACCCCCGTTTTCACCGAAGTACCCCACCAATGAGAAAACTTGGACAATATTTCGGAGTACCCCACCCTTTTTGCAAAGGGTACCCTACCCCACTATTTTATATCAAAGAACCGGTCAATTTACTACCCCACCCCTGAAGTTTGCAACCTCCAATCCAACCAAACCTTGTTAATTTATGAGAGAAGTCCGAATCGGATAGAGGGGTGGAGGGGGTTCGGATAGCGTGAAGGGTCCCTCAGATCTCATGGGTGGGTGCCTCGCAAGTCAATTGAAGCTATGAAACTAGGCAAGTCCAGGTCATCTGTGAGGGGAGGGACGTAGAGCAAGGTCGGGGATGGGTAAAATTGAGGGGGTAGGGGTCAGTTACAGTAGGATGATTCTCCAAGGCAATCAGGGGAATATAGGGGGGTATAGGAAAAGCAAATAGGGGTGGGGGTATTACTTAGATAAGGTCAGTGGGGCTGATGGGAATCGTTGGGGTAGTGTGTGAGGATTGATCCAAATCTGAAGAGGTTCGTGGGAAGACGAGGGGGTGGGGGTGGTAATTCCAGGTAATGAAGGGTGTGGTGGGGTCCATCCCATCAGTCGTGGGTGGGTGGTAACGGTACTTTTGAAGGGCTTCAAGTTTGAAAAAAGAGGAACTATTGAACGAAGAATGTCGGAAAGTTCTTACGATCATATTGGGTGTGGCACGACAGGTAACCAAAGCAAAGAAAATGAGGGGGGGTGGGCACAAGAAGGTGCAAGCGGGGGTGGTAGCAGGGGACATTCATCACACCGGTGGGTCTTTCTTGGTGGGGGTTACCCCCGTGTAAACTAATGTCTAAATAAGGGTGGGGGTAGACAATATGACTGTATGGGGGTGGGGGTGCGGCACGTCCCCAAGGAAAGCTGGGGAGACCACTGCTTGGGACTCCCCAGAGGAAAGAAACGATTACGAATCGAAAACTCGTCTTTTCGTCCCAGATACGAATCTTCATATTCAACCTACCCTACCCCACAAGTTCGTCACCGTCAACCCCCCATCCCCCCCTTCCCATATGTGAACTTTGATTTTTAACTTAACTTTTTAAGTAAAGAGTTTGACCACGGTCACCGTGTGTTGCCACAAGTTGTCGGACATGGAATGACCATGAATTGACCAAAGTTTGACCACCCGCGGGCACTGTCGCATTCAGGGCGGAGGGCGCGGCCTGCCACCGGCCCAGGTCGGAATGGTTCGGAAAGTCTGAACTGAGTTTCAAGTTTCAAGTTTGGCGACTCCGACCCGGGTACGCCGTCACAGGCCGGGCTGAGGCCGCCCCCCCCCCCCCCCCCCCGGACGTACCGTATGGTGTTAAGTTACAACCATGAACTTACAGTTGACAAAACCCCGGCCCGGTGACCCGGGCCTCGGACCTTCCCGGTGACCCGGGCCTCGGATTTTCCAGTGCCAGTGACTCGCCAGCCTGGCCCTTCACAGGCCGCACTGTCACAGTGGCCGCGCAAAAAAACTTGAAGGGCAGCCGCTGAGGCCGCGGCCGGCCCCCGGGCGTCACGGTCGGCCTGGTCCGAGTCGGGGGAGTCCGACGGGGCGGCGGCCGGGCCTTTGAGTCGGTGGCAGCCTTGAATGACGGGTACGGTCATAAACTATATAACAGGTACGGTCACTACTAGGCTAGCCCGGCTGGGGGACACCAAGAACTGAGAAAAGCCACCGTCTTTTCGGGAGCTTTGTTTTTCCTGGGCAAAAACGGTACAGAATGTGAGTCCATCAGCCTTGGCATAGTACCTGACCTGCCAGGCTGGACGGTCACCCCGGCGTCCGATCAGTACGGTCGCCGCCATCGGACGATGAGTGCCATGATCCCCTCACAGTCAGTTGGACTTATTTACTTTGCAAGTTTCTCACAGTGCCGGCGGCGGGCAGGGTTTAGTACTACACGGCGGTTCTACGGTTCCAGAAAGCGGCCACGGAGTCCGATAGAGTGAGGAGCGGACTCAGTCACAGGGGTTGGCAAGCCACCGCAGTGACATCGGGGGAGAATCTGACGGGGCACTGACTGAGATTTGAAAAGATGATGAATCATTTCATTCCGGGTCTGAATCTTCATCCGAATCTGCAACAAACATCAGATCGAGAGTGGTCGGGAATTCTTCGCAGACCTGAATCGCTGTCGGAGTTCGACTCGGATGACTGAGGTTCGGGAGGCTAGGTAGGAGTAAGGCAGTAAGTTTCAGCAGCAGGATGCGTCTCAAGATAACCTTCATCAACCCTTTTCCTCCTGACATTGTTCCTTTCCCTCCCGACATCGTTCCTTTCCCTCCACCAGATCCCATCAACCCCTTGCCTCCACCTTGACGAGGCGCCGTCTCCTGTAACATTGTTGGTGTCAGATAGCATCGCGGCAGACTCGCAAGCAAGCGCTCACAGGCTCGTCGTCGTCGTCGTCAGATGAATCAGAGGACGAGTCAGAGGACGATGCTTCATCATTGTTCTGATTGTAGTACTGCTGGTACGGAGCCTTGGATGGTCTTTCATCCGCTGGCTCCGACTGGTCCACATGTGAGAACATCCTCTTGAGGGAGTCGGGGAGAGGAGCAGGCTTGCTCGTTGGAAGTGAGACCTTGGACAACTTGGTCAACCTTGTGCTCCCAGAGATTTTCTCGAGAACAGCTTCGCCGGTGCTCTCGTCAACGATGAGGATGCAGTCGTCCTTGGCTGCTACCATGTTCCCCTCGAAGTAGTGCCCGCTGCTTGTCTTGCCATCCGCTGCTACGTCCTGGTTCTCGAAGCTGACGTATACCTTGTTGCCTTCCTTCTTCTTGTCGCTGGGGTTTGCAGACCCTCTCCAGAGCACGCCGGACTGATCTTTGATCGAGTCCGGCCTGAAGGTGAAGAGGAGCGTCTCGTACTGCTCTGCGCCTGCGTCTCTCTTTCCCGTCTTCCGTATTGTGCTCCCAATCTTCAGTTTAAAGTTTGTGAACTCTTCTGCCATGCTCGCTTGTGGTCTCCAGTCCCTAAGGGCCCCGTCTTCGTCTCACTCGTCTTCTGAATCGCCCAACAGCGATCACCTGGCGATAGAAGTCAGTTACAAGCTAGAGCTGTAAGGTGTCAGAAGGCTCTTCTCTCTTCGGTGTTCACTACGTCCTTTGTCATACTGCGGCAGTCCTCCATGTTGTACAAGTTCTCATCAATGACCAACCTCTGCCCGCTCCACCTACCAGCCCCACGCCTCACATCTCAACACCAAACCTCTCTGCAGCTTCTCATAGCTACGTGGTGGAACAGACTAATATTGACTCCCAAGAAGATTAAGATTGAATCCCTGCCCCCAAACACACAAAACTTTCTGCTTATGCCTGTATACTATTCAGTTCAATTCACTCTATCTTCCTGTTCTTTCTCATGATTCCCCATGTGAAAACCTACGCTCGTCATGGTCATCCTCCCCATCTGCTTCATATCCTCCTCCTCCTCCCCTCCCCCCCACTCCCCCTCCTCCTCTACCCTCCACGGTCACTGCTTCCCGAGTGCTTGCATTTGCTGCCCGCGGCGGCCGAGCCAACAAGGTAACGTATTTCCCTTTTCCGTAACGCCTATTGGGTCAAATCATGGTCAAACGTCGCAATGCAGGGAAGGACCGGAGGTGAGGATAGGAACGCGGGGACATGAAGGAGCAAGAGGAGACGAGCAGCATGAGATGAAGCAGGCATCCGAGCTGACTGAGTTGTCGCGCGACGAGACGGTCGGAGACCTCCTTCCTCCTGACGATGGCCTGGCTCGATCGCCGCACGTTCATGCTGGTGTTGGCAGTGCTGGTAGCCGGCATACCCAGGACAGACTGCAGCTCAGGGGAGGAATGCGAGGAGCTGATCTGCTATCCAAAGGCCGACATGGCGCTAGCGGGGCTGAACGCGTCGCATGAGAGGCTGGCAGATGCCTGCGGAGACTTGGGGACGTGGATGGACGGGACCCTGCTGGGAGCTTCAGTCTACGACCCGACGCACCTCGAGAAGTTCAGAGAGATGGCGATGGGAGAGAAGAAAATGGTGAAAACTCCGTGCTGGCAAACGCGATCCGGGACGTGGCATTTTCGTCCCCGCCAGAGGAGCTTCTGGCTGCTCACCATGGTGTCAGGGCGGAGGGTCCAATACCTGAGGCAGGAGTGCTGCATCTCCTCCAAGAGAGCCTCCGAGGAAGCAAGCGCCGACGCTTCTCTGTGCAACGATGACGGCGAGAGAGTTCTGCTGGTCCCTCCTGGCCCTGATGCAGCGCAGAGGATGTGCCTCTTGTCTCGCAACCACCAGGACGTGATCGACTCAGTGGACCAGATTGCGATCAAGGCAGGCACTTGCTACGAGGAGGAGGGGGAGAGGGAGGAGATGAAAACAGCTGCATTTTTCTCATGGCTGCACTCGTGGATCGAGGTGACGTGAAGTGCCTTGTACCTCGTTCCTCGATTCTCTCCATGATGCGTTGTGGCAGGCCAGGGATCTTGTTGCCTTCTCGAGCAAGAGGCGCAGGCGAGGGCTGCGGGATGCCGAGCTTGCAGACGGCCTCTATGCTGCAGGTTTCTCGAGGGAGATCTGCAGCTATGAGATCGGAATGAGGAGGAGGGGGAGGGGGGAGGGGAGGAGAACTGATGTAGAGGATCCTGTGAAGGGAAGATCGAGCTGCAGGGTCGGCGACGAGTTTGAGCTTCCATGGGAACAACACCACGTCCTGCAGCACTTCATGCATGCCTGCGACCAGAGGTTGAAGGAGCATGAAGGAGCAGGAGCAGGAGCAGGAGCAGGAGCAGCAGAAGGTCAGTTCTTTCGGGTTGAGATCGACTTGATTTATGATGTTTCATCCATCAGCCACCGCGGGGAGTTTCGCCATGGGTTTCACTGGATCCCAGTATGCTGCAAGCCTACGACAAGCATCGCTCCTTCACGCGCAGACGTCTGTCTCCTCGTCCTCCCCGCCCTCAGCCTCCCTCACTGCTCTTGCTCCAGCTGCGCTCGGAGCTGTCGGACGACTCGCGGGTGTCGATCTTGGACATGGTGGGACGGAAATCTCTTGGTCTTTCTCCTTTGCCGGGAGGGACTTGCTTGTCTGATCCTCTTGTAGCCGAGCCGGGAGGAGGAGGAGGAGGAGGAGGAGGAGGAGGAAGCATCTACTGGCGTTTGCGTCCTGTGTGCCGATGTGAGGTGGCAACCTTTCAGAAACATCGGGACGATGACAGGTAGAGTTGCAATCAGGAAGGAGCAGAGAAAGAGTAGGAAGAGGAGGAGGGGGGGGGGGGTTGAGGAGGAGGAGCAAGAGGAGTCGGGAAAGCAGGAGGTACGGAGGGGAGGGAAAGAAGGGAATATTTGACGGTGAGATACGATGGAGACTGTGACCATCTCCTCTAGGTTACAACATCTTTGCGCTGCTCAACACCTCCGTGCCCTCTTCTACCGACGTGGAGGTGGAGAGGTCAACCTGGAACTTCATCGAGGAGGAGCCGAGGGGAGGATGGACCCTAGCTGATGTCGTGGGCTTCCCGTTCTCCAGGTGAGGGGATGGAAGATGGGAGGGATGGAGCGACTGCTGACGAGTGGAGCAGCGACATTGTCATGCCTCTCTTCTCCTGGCGATCCTCTCGGCTGCTCCCTGCTGAATGTGAGAGTAAACAGGAGGATGAGGAGGAGGGCGATATAGGACCGAGCGGGGAAGAGGCAAAGGGGGAAGGTCAAGAGGAGGATGGCAAGGATGGAAGAGAGGCAACAGGAAGAGGAGGAGGAGGAGGAGGAGGAGGAGGAGGAGGAGGAGCAGCAGCAGCAGCAGCTGATCGTGTGTTCAGCTCCGTGTGCAAGAAAACCCAAGGCGGCAGTGATCTATCTTGTGGGCCGAGGTCAGTCAGGTCTCAGAGAGGATGAAAACTGACT